GGCCAATGGGGCAGGCAGGTAGGTTTTAAAAGCTCGCCAGGGGATTCTAGTCCATTCCACCAGGGTAGATGGAGAGGCCAGAGAGCTGCTGGTTAGCTCACTTCCGGACTGCTCCAGAGCTCGGTTCTGTCACTCACTAGCTAATGACCACGGGTCAGTGAGCCTCAGTTGCTGCGTTAGGAAACTGGGGAGGGCAGTACCTCACTCACCAGGTTATCCTGCAGGTAAAGATGGGAGGTCAAAGGCAGGTAGTAGGCATGGGCTTCATAAAGTCAGCAGGCCATTGCCAAGACCCTTCTCATAATCTCTCCTCCAGTTTCCTCTTCTCCAAACTAGCTTCCTTTAACCCCACCTCTCTGGACTGAGATGTCTGTTCTTATTCATAAGAATAGCTTCCAAGTCACACTCTGCTGCTTTCCTGGGGTTCTGGAGGGGCCGGGCCAGGATGAAGGTGCTATAAATAAGGGGATGTCCTAGGCCCCCCACCTGCTGAACCAGACCAACCCACGTCCCTTACTTACAGCAGGATCTTACAGCAGGATGTCCATGCCAACCCACATGAAAGAACTGCTTTAGTGGTGGCCACTGTGACTCCCAGATCTCCTTCTGTTCCTTTGCAGACCCATGCCATCCGTCTCTCAGATCGGGGTGATGGGGCTTCCCTCCCCAGCCATGCAGTAAGTAATGCAACACATTTTTATTGTTGCTATGATGTGCTGGGCACCGGGCCAGCTGAGGGCACAGGGATGTATGGTAAGAGAGCTGCATTCACTACTGCCAAAGAGCTCATAGCTCAGCGGGGGAGGCGTGCCCATCTGTGAATGGGGCACTCTCATCGTGGATCTTAACAGCCCTGCCTCGTGGAGGTGCTGCAGGGTTAAATGAGCAGAGGCTGGCAACGTGCAGAGCAGTACCCCGTCCCTCCCCCAACAGACAGTCAATATAGTGAGTTGTGCAAGCACCTGATGGGGGTACACCGGGTTCTGGGGACCCAGGCGAGGACGCCCTGACTCAGAAGCATGGAAGCAGGAGAGGCCAGGGGAGGGCCAGCAATGCCCTATAGGATCAGGATCTTACAAACCCCAGAGACAGAAGGGCGGGGGTGGGGAAGCGGTCAGGGATGCTGACAGCTTGGAAGCTGCATCCGGAATCCAGGGGTACCACTGACATACCTGCTCTCCCAGGGTGGATAAAGAGGCCAGGCCAAGGGCAGGCTCTCCATCTGGTGGGGGTGGGGGTGGTCCCGTCTCTAGGACAGTCCCCTCTATGCCCCTCTCTGAACTTGACTAGTGTTGCAATCATCTGTTCATCTAAATTCTCCATGACTTTCTCTACAGCCTTTCCTTGCCATGTGATTTGAGGCAGGTTACCGAACCTCTCTGGGCCTGGATTTTTGTCTGAACACACAGAGTTCGGGAGAGGTAGGCTTAACACCCTGACTAGCTTAGCGGGGTCAGGGTCGGGCTCAGAAGATGGAAAACGATGGCCACCGTAGCGCCCTGCAGCCCTACCTTTCCAGAGAAATTCTTCCTTGTTTATGCTGTAATTGTCCGGGCTCTGGGCCCAAAGGCTGGTGGTGGGTTTATTCAATGTTCTTATTCCAGGGCCTAGAGGCAAGGGGGCAGGTGAGCAGCACGCATTCTAAATCATCCCCAAAACTGTTCTAGGCAGAAAGGAATGAGCCTGGGATGGGAGGTGACCTTGAAAGTGACATAAATCGGAGGAGAGGGGCTCTGTACAAATATTCTACTAAATAAGCCAAACTCCCCATCCAATGGTATCCATCCCTGGGAAATATAAAAAAGAAAGTACAGAAACAACCAACATCAGACCCACAGCTAACTGAGTTGCAGGTGGTGGCTGGAGACAGACCCATTTGACTCTCCCCCTCCTTTTCCCAAAGTGGCCCTCAGGTGACAGAGCAGACCAGCCACTTCTTGCAGGGAAACCAGGACGAGAGTGGGAAAGAACCAGGGAGGTGGGTGGCAGGAACAAGGAATTAGGCAAAGAAAAATGGCCCGCAAAATGCAGAAACGCCCCAGCATGCTTGCTTCCCAAAGCCGGCCCATGAATCGAGGGGTGACAGGTCTCTCATCTCTGATGCCAAGAGCCAGGAGCTCCAGGCAGCCGCAGGTACTACATCTGCACCTGCCAGCACTTGGAAAGAGGCGATAAAGCATCGTAGCAGGGCCTGGAATGCTAAGTGCCTGCAGCTGGGAAGGGACCGCCTTAGAGCGAGAGCAGTTGGCCGTGGACATCCACCGTGCGACGGCCGGCTCCCACACACCAGCGGGGGCTTCCTCTCCTACCCCCGGCAGCCTGCTCCCAGTGACCAAGGCGGTGGACAGAACAGGTGCACACTCGGTCCAGCCCCGGGGGCTGCCACGGCCAGGTGCTGGCCCCGACAGACCGGGATCTTCAGAATGAAGCCCAAGTGCACTGGGTAATTTACCGAGGCTGGCAGAAACCTGGACGCTTGAGTCACGGGTCTATAAAAGTGGATCATAAAGCACCCCAGCCAAGCCAGACGTCTGGAAATACACCAGGGCCACATGCAGCTTAGAAGTGTGGGCCCCATCCCCCAAGTGATCATAACAATAATAATGTTTATACAGCACTTAGGGTGGAAGTGTCTCAGAGCCTGTTCTCAGGGCTTTGTACTTGTATTAATGCACTTAATCCTTGCAGCAACCCTACGAAGCTAGTGGTGGTAGCATCCTCCTGTCACATACAGGAAGATGAAGCAGCACAGGGGCCAGAGAGCCAGGCGCGAACAAAGGCAGGGTTTGAACCCCTGCCATCTGCTTCCAGAAGCCGTGCCCTGGACCGTGCTTCTTAAAGTCTATGGCGCCCGGCAGTAACCCCGGGGTGGGGGTGGGGGGGCTTGACAGCATGTGGCTCCTGACTCAGCTGGTCTGGGGTAGGGGCCCCCACCACTTACAAGCTTCCAGGTGATGCCCGGTCCAAGGACCACACGGGGAGCAGGAGGCTCTAATCTACTAGACTACATTCCCATGAGATCCCTTCAGCTGTGGAAATGGGTTTACACCACACTGCTCTGGCTCTGGGGGTGTCTATGAATTCCTCAGTCAATAGAAATAGGCATTGGCAAGGTGTCAGAATCAAGGGCCAGGGCAGAGGGTGTGATGTCTTAAAATACCCATGTCCAGGGGCACCTGGGTGGCTCAGCTGGTTGAGTGTCTAACTCCAGCTCAGCTCATGACCTTGCGGTTTGTGAGTTTGAGCCCCACGTCGGGCTCTGTGCTGACAGCTCAGCTCCTGGAACCTGCTTCCGATTCTGTGTCTCCCTCTCTCTCTGCCCCTCCCCTGCTTGCATTCTGTCTCTCTTTCTCAAAAACAAATAAACATAAAAAAATTTTTTAAGAAAAAGTGCTTTCAGAAAAGGGGGTGGTGAGCCAGGGCCTGGGTCTGCTGAGGGCTATGGCTACGGTCTGCTGGCATTCCCTCTTCCTGTCTCCTGGAGGAGAGAGGCAGCTGGCAGCCCCCCAATCTGGCATGCTTTCCGAGATGCCCCCACTTGCCCCATCCATGAGCTTTCAGGGGAGAACAGACACCAGTCGATTTATCGAGAAGCCCGCCACCCTTGATATCTGATCACCCTCACTATATGAGCAAGCTCCTCATTCCCAACCTCTGGTATACGTGCCCTCAGCCTCTGCCTTTAACAAGAACTCCCCTGACCTTGATGGCTCTTTGTTCTAATTTTTCATCCACTGAGCCCTCACTCTCCTCGTTGGCTATAAATCCCCACATGCCCTTGTAGTATCTGGAGTTGAGCCAGCTCTCTCTCCCTTGCTGCAACGTTCTTGAGGGGATCCTTTCTTACAGTCTTAACAAGTGGCAGAGTAATTTTTTTCTTTAACGCCGCCCCTGCCCGAGGGAAAAGTCACACCACAGTGAGCAGCCCTGATGGGGGCAGGGAGCTTGGTGCCACTAAACACAATGTCCAGGCCTCACCTTGGCATTCAAGGCCTGAGCAAGGACTTCGGGAGGCAGGCAATGACCTCAAGCCTCATCTTTCTCTTAAGTGTACCCGACATCCAGTAAAACTCAGGGATTTACTGCCCCTCACGCACCAGAGCTTTCCCCCATCCTGCCCGTGATCGGGCTTTTTTCTCCCTGAACTTTCTGGAAGTTCCTCTCCCTTCTTATCCACCTGCTCTGAGTCACAGTGATCTCTCCCCTGGTGACAAGACTACTCATCCTCGAGTCTTCATTTCTCCCCATCATCTTCAATCCTGCAACCTCCCAGCTTATCCAGGCACACTGTTCTCTGGGTTAATGGCAACATTTAAAGGCCACATTTCTCAGCCTCCTTTGCAGCGCCTGCAGTCATGTGACTCAGTTCTGACCGATGCAATGTAAGCAGAAGCAATGTGTGTGACTTCCAGGAATGTTTTTATGCCTCTCTTTCTTCTCTTGCTGTAATGGTTGGTGCTCCAACAGCCATCTTGGGCTGTGAGACAATCTTGACTATGGAAGCTATAAGGGGGCAGCCACGAGGTTCCTGACCGCATGGAACACCATTCCAGCATTGAGCTGGCCCCTCCAGACTTGAACACGAGAGAAACATTACCTTCCAGCTCGTGTGAGTACTGTTTTTTGAATTTTCTGTAACAGCTGAACTTAATGCTATCAGAGCCACCTTTTCAGATCCCTGGATTCTTGGGTCCACCATGTGACACTGCGTAGAATCACCGTTTGCGTCTTCTGCCCAGGTGAAACTGTGAGCAGCCTGAGGCTGCAATCGTCTTAGCTAGTTCCCTCCTCCCCACCCCATGAAGCAGGAGGCCTCACACACAATGCAAAGCACATCTCGGAATTAAAGTCTGTCTCCTGTACTCCACACAACTCACCGGCTTACACCCATACTCTCAGCATCCTGGAAACCCAAGTTAAGCTGCCGTCCGCCCCACCCAGGCCGCTTGCTCTCACCACCCCCACCGGCTCCCTGACTCTCAGGAGGATCGCTTCCTTACCAGGATGTCGGAGCCCACGGCTTCCTCCCCTGCGGTTGGGCTGGAGCAGTTGCGGAGTTTGAATGCCCAGTACTCCTTGGCAGTGACAAAGAAGTTCCACGGCAGCAGGCCACCGATGCCCAAGCTGAAGAAGATGATGTAGGTGCCATTGAAGCGGTCCTCAGGCCTCTGCAGGCTGGGTGGCGGGCGGTCCAGCAGCTTCTCAAGGAGCGCATCCTGGTCAGCTTGAAGACTGCCGCTTGCAGTTCTGTAGGTGGAGTTTGCACTGTGATGAAAGGCATCCTCTGAGGTCATGGCCACTATCGGAGCAGAGAGAAACGGAGATGGGGCAGGTAATCAGAAGCTTATCTGGGGCACAGTTAGGGACTCTCCCATCCTACAAGCTGACCAGGCCCCTACTGTGGGTCACCAAAGCATGGCTCAAAAGCTTCAGGTTTAAGGACCGGGGAGAGAGACAAGATATCGGAACTGTAAGTGACCAAAGGGTTTCAATCCCCTCCCCCCCAACTCCCACGCAGGCCAACACAAACAAGCCCAGCAGGTTGGACGGGAGTGAGGCAATGTGGTGCAGCGGGACCTGTGGCAATCGATCTGGAAGGGCAAACCTGGTCTCAGGGCATTTAAGTTCCTACGTAGCCATAAAAAAGGAATCAGGACCCTTGATGGGCATAGAATGTTCTCTAAACGTCTCAGATTTGTGTGAGAAAAGGAAGAAACAAGGAAGTGCATAGAATATGTTACTGTTTGTACCAAAAAGCAGGGCTGGGCTGGGTGGGGAGGAGAATATATACACGTACGTATGCAGGTCTTCTGGAAAGGTACACAGGAATTTCCCTCCTCTGGGGGGGAGACTGGGGACGATGGGGATGCAGAAGTCTTCACTGCCTGCTCTCTGTGCCTTTGGAATTCTGAACTGTGTGAATGTATTATGTGTTTAGAAATAAAGTTGTAAATAAAAGTAAAGACAAAGTAAATAGCATTAGAAAAAAAAACCCAAAAATCCATGGCGTCTAGAGCTGCCTTCAGAAGCAAGTTGAGAGATCCAACAGCCCACTCCCTCATTTAATTTGTGGGAACTAGAGGTCTGAAGAATGGCAGCAGGTCACAGACTAGGTCTGTGGCCAAGGCTGGGTTGGCAGCTCCTGCCCCGGGCTCCCACCTCGGTCCCTCACAACCCCCCAGGAGACGGCCAACCGGCAATGGCACGGAAGACTCGCAAAATTTCTGGGTTGCTAGTAACTATTACCTACATGACCCTGGGCAAGTCACCATGCTTCTGAGCCTCAATTTCCCCATCTGCAAACCAAGGGAGGCCTTCTTATGAGGCTTATGTGACTGCAGCTGACTGTCAGTGGCTGGACCGTGGGAGCAGCTCTTAGGCAAACATCAGTATCTTCTCCGCCACCCTGGGCCTGGCACCTGGCGGGCCGGCTGCTGAATTTGGCTGCAAAGTAGCATGTCTGCTCCTATGCTCTATAGCACCCAGGGCACGGCAGCAGCTTGATAAATGGGCAGAACTTCCAAAAAGCTGAGGCTGGGACACTGTAGTGTTCCCTGCAGTAGCCCCCCCCCCCCACCCCCCAATACATCAAGAAATCAATGCAGCTCGGCTCCCATTAGAGGCAGAGCCTTAAGTCACAGCATCAAGCCAGGCAGAGCAGAGCCTTCCTTCCCTGCGGAGATGAACACCGTGTCCTGCAGGTACAGAGCCTCCTCTGCTATTTCAGGAGAGCCACACAACATTCCTTGGGATTAAGGACAGGAGTTACTGCCTCCTTTTTTTCAGAGGCAAAGAAGGAGGCCTCAATTGGTCCCACGTTCAAACAGTAAGAAGTGCCCAGAATGAACATGAAATCCAGCACTCAGTCAATGCCAAGTCAAAGGCCCGCGCTTGTGCCTGACAACACCCCAGTATGACAGGTACTACTCTAAGAGTCATTTCGCAGAGCAAGAGTGAGGCTCAGAAAGGTTCAGTCATTTGCCTGAGGTCACACAGCTCCCAAATGGCAAGAGAGAGGTTGCATAGCCAAGCAGACTGAGGCCCACGTGGGAGAGGAGGCTGGCTGGCGATGTGAACCCATGTCTACTGGCTCCAAGTATAGAGCTCCTTCTAGAAGGCCTCACGGCTAGTGAGCTGTGAGCAGAGGTGAAGAGGGTAAGGGCACCCTCAGCGATGGTTGCTGAATGAATGGATTTTGTGTGTTCAGGATAGCCTCTCCTCCTGGGGTAGCATGTACCCCCGAGCGGGCAGGCAAGATGCTATCAGATGCCCGAGCCTCAGGCCAGCAAGTCTACTATCAACTCCCCTGGTCGAGCAGAGCCCCTTCCAACCTTGAGCTACAGGGAACCCAGCACTAACAAACTCACCAGTGTGGGCACACCCGCATGTGCAGGCACATACACATTTCTGAATTAGTGTCTAAACATGTAAAAATTGTGACCCACATTGGACAACAGACGAAGGGCAAGTGGTTCTTTCCAGATGCTCCAGCTACAGGGGTGGGTGCAGGGGGCACCAGTGGGTCACTCCAGCCCACTCTCATCTCCAGGCATTTATTTGTCCGGGACCATTCAGCCTTGACTGAGCTTCTGAAGAAGGAGCCAGAAATTTTCTCTAACCTGGGTCACAAGCCAGGGCATTGGAGTGAGCAAAGTCTTATTACTGTTTATAAAAGCTAGCTGCTGGCTTCTGGATTAAAAAGAAAGACAGAAAAAGAAACCTAACGAAGAGCCCTGGTGTGGTCAGCGGGGCCGGCTGAGGCCTGGTGTGTGCCCCTCCAGCACCTGCGGGAGCCCGCCAGGCTTGGCCCTGCTCTCCCTTCCAGGGTGATGCGGGGGGAAGGGGCGGCACCTGCACAAAGAAGCAGAAATGTGCGGTGCCTGGGGCGGCTTCAGACCCCCATCAGGAACTGGGTGCTGGTTAGGAGGGGGTTTCTGACTCTGGCTAAGCCAATCTCCCCCTTGTGCCTCGATTTCCTCATCTGCGAAATGGGGGTAAGGGAGCTGGTGATAACCTATGGGGAAACATTGCTGGGGAACACAGGGCGCCACCCTGAGGCCACGGCAGAATCGGCTTTGGGGTTGCGGACACCCCAGGCCTCAGACCTAGCGTCAGCCACCTTCTGGATAATTTGGGCTGATGTGTCCATACCCAGGTCCCCCGGGTGGGGAGGTCGAGTCTCAGGAAATCCAAAAGGAGGAGAAAGAGGAAGGGAGAGAAGTGGGGGGGGGAGGGAGCGGAAAAAGAGGATAGAGACCCAGAAAGGGGGAAACTGAGGGTGAGGGCAGCGAGAAGGAAGAGGAGGGACGACGGGGTGGGATGCAGCGAGACGCGCCGGAGCGGAGGGGCTGGGGTTGGGACGGAGGCCCTGAGATTTCCGGGGGAGCAGTCCCCAGGAGGGCTCGTAGGGGGAGGCGGCCGAAGCGCGAGCCCCGGGGACCGTCGGGAGCCTGAAGAGCTGGTCGGGTGCCGGGCCCGCACTTACTGTCGCCGCCGCGCCGCCGCCGCCGCTGCCTCCCCGGCCGCCGCGGCCACTGCGACTAGGGGCTCCGCGGGGGCCGCAGGCCGAGCTCCGCCTCCCGGCCCCGCCCCGGCCCCTCCCCGGCCCGCTGACGCCCGCGCTTCCCGGTTTGCGAGCCCTTCTCCTTTTGTCCTGGGCCGGCCTCCGCGCGCCGCCGCCGGGCTGCGAGTACGCGCCCACTGCCCGGGTGGACAAAGCGAGGCGCCGGCCGCGCGGTGCACCGTCGGTGCTGGCTCTGTTCGCGGGACGCCGCCTCTGGGCTGCTACGCCCGCTCCTTCCCCGCCCCCCGCGGGAGCTGGACCCCCTCGTCTCCGGAGTCTGCTCCCCAGGACCCAGAAGAACTCCATCTTGCCCCCAGACTCCTGCAGAGGGCCCCCTCTAACCGCAGCCCCCCACTCCTCCCTGATCGCCCTGTTGGCCCCGCCACCCAGCTTTCGCTGGGTGTCAGGCCTTCTGTAGTGCCAGGCCAGCGCCATGGCGCTCTTACTCCTCACCGCCTTCCGGAGACTCATTGTCTGGCTGAGACTGAGGGGTAGCTGGGCCGGAGGGCACACGGTCCTCAGGGCCGCCTGTCAGGCCCTCCCACCAGCCCCCAGACATTTGTGTCTGAGTGACAGGCCAAGGGGGCCACCTTTATCAGATGGACCCTCTCCCTCTTTCTGCCATGCCCCTCACATGCCTGAGGGGCGGGGATGCCCCCTTCACAGACAGGAGAGCGATGGGGTTCTGAAACCCCTAGGAGGCTGTGATGTCCCCCCAGGCACATGGGTGGGCTTAGTGCTAGGTGCTCTTGGGGCAAGGTGATGCTCAGAACACTGTGCTTCCTGCATTCAATAGACCTGCTGAGTGCCAGGCCCTGCAGTGAGGACCTGTGATATCGTAATATAAGAAATATATATTTGGGGGCGCCTGGGTGGCTTAGTCGGTTAAGCATCCGACTTTCGCTTAGGTCATGATCTCGCGGTTGGTGCGTTGGGGCCCGCGTCGGGCTCTGTGCTGACTGCTGGCTCGGAGCCTGGAGCCTATTTCAGAGTCTGTGACTCCCTCTCTCTCTGACCCTCCCCTGCTCACGCTCTCTCTCTCTCTCCTAGAAATAAATAAAACATTAAAAAAATTAAAAAAAAAAAAGAAATACATATTTGGTGTTACAGAAAGTCGCAGGTCCCAAACCGGGGCTTAATACCCCGGAAGTGCAGTTGCAACCTCCCTTCCAGAAATGTGGCCAGAACTGGTCAGTCAGGAAATACTTCTTTCCATCAACACTAAGGAATCTGTCACCTAGGGTCATCTCCATTCCCTTCCCCTCAAAGAAAGATAAGGGCATCCGCATGATAATAAGGATCTTGGTTTTTCCCCCCCCTAGCAACCAAGCTTCTCTGAAACAATCTTTTTTTTTTTTCTAACAACTTTCTCACCCCGCCTTTGTCTATAAAACCCTTCCATAATATACAGCTTACCTGAGTGCCTCTCTACTTGCTAGATGTATTGCTTCCCGGTCCATGAATCATTTAATAAATTAGCCAATTAGATTCTCAAATTTACTTGGTTAAATTTGTTAGTTAACATTGGTCTGCCCCAGGTCCCTACGTGAGAGCTTCGGAAATTCTTGGAATTTCCTGGGTGACACGGATGTTTGGAGAGGTTTTTGTTTATAACAAGCCTCTTTCCATCACACCAGGGTCTATGCTAATCGCGTGACTCCTGCGGTGGGGGTGGGGCTGGGGGCTGGTTGCGCCGCCGAAGGAAGCAAGTGTGAAATTAGAGGTTGGGACTTTGAGCCCCATGCCCCAGCTCTGCAGAGAAGAGGGGCTGGAGATGGACTTAATCACAATGCCCAATGAGTTCATTAATCATGCCTGTATGCCTTCATAGAAACCCCTGAAAGATAGGGTTCAGAGAGCTTCCAGGTTGGCGAGCACATCTACTTGCTGGAAGGGTGTGCACCCTAACTCTGTGGGGACAGAAGCTCCTTTGTTTGGGACCGTGGACCCTGTTCATCTGTATCCTTTATAGTAAGCCAGCAATGATGTTTCTTGAGTTCTGTAAGCCATTCTAGCAAATTATTGAAACTGAAGGGATGAGTGTCATAGGAACCCATGACTTTGTAGCCAACAGCCAAGTCAGACAGAAATCTGGCCGCCCTGGGCACCCGGTACTTGATGCTAGTGTCTGAAGTCGGGACAGTCTCAAGGGACTGACGCCTGCTCCGGGTAGTGTGTCAGAACCAAACTGAATTGCAGGACACCCGTGGTGTCCGGAGAGTTGGAGAATTGGTTGTTGGTGGGGGAACCTCCCCACACACATTTGGTGTCTTAAGTATCCAGGGTGAGAACTGTGCAGAGGCCCAAAGGTACAAAGGGCTGGGCTCACGTGTGGGAGGAGCCCCCACCCTCCGCAGGGGAGACGGGCCAGCGAGCGCAGAGGACACTGGAAACCCCGCAGGGACGTGCACAGTGCAGCGGGGTCAGCGGTGGGCTGGCCGGTGCCTGGAGGCAGCAAGGACTGGACGCCCCCCCACCACATGCACGGCAGCCTTGCATCCTTGCAAGCCCCGTTTCACGGGGTGCAGGTCCAAGGCTTGTAAAATTAGGTAGCTGGCCCGAGGTCATAGGACGGTGGAGCCTGTTCCCCCTCCACCCCCCACCAGGTGTGTCTGACTCTAAAGGTGGCATCTGTTTGCTGCTCTATCGTGTGGCTTTCTGGCGGGTCTGGAGGCAGGCAGGGTGGGGAGTGGGGAGGAGAGGCGGATCCGGGAGGCTGGTCAGGGGCAGGGAAAGAACTCACCCAAGGCAGAACAAAGGAGACAGAAGTTTCCAGAATACACTGCAAGGAAACAGAGGGCAGGACCACAAAGGAGAGACTGTCAGGAGGCAGTGGCCGGGGAGGAGCTGTAGTTAAGGGAGAAAGTGAGGAGGTATGGGAATGTATGGAATTTTCCTTTTTTGGTACAAGCCCCCTACGGCTTATGGCTCTTTTGAGGGGTCATCTAATGAGCCTGTTTGGGTGGTCACCATGGTGACCTTTTACCTTACTTGGGTAAGACATTGCCCAAGCCTGTCGCCTAAAAGTAGCTTCTACAAAGGGCTCCTCAGAAGAGGCGACCTTGGAACTGAATCTAGCGGATGCTTGCGGTCCATTGAGGAGAGCAGGGAGGACCTTCCAGATGGAGCAGAAGGCTGAAGCAAAGGCAGAGAGCAGAGCAGTGACACGTCCACGCAGGGAGGGCTGTGAGGCTGTGAGGAAGGCTGGGCCTGGGCTGGGGTGGTCATGAAAGCCAGAACGGACATGTGGACACCGCACGGCACGTGACAGCATTCCAGAAGGGTTTGCAGATGAGGAGAACAAGTCTCACCGGGGGTAGAGAGGTGACCGTGCTGATCAAAGCCAGGGCAATGGACTGGAGGCTAGGGCCACTTGGCTTCAATATCTGACTGATTTGTTCAGCCTCAGAAACAGATCCACATTTACAAAGTTTTAATTTAGCATCTGATCCCTTCTGGGCCTTGAACCATCCTGGCTCCTAGCCCCGCCTCCCTCACCCAAGTAATACAGTTTGTAACTTCCAACGAGGGACACCAGACCTTTGCCATCTAGAGAAGGGGTGGACAGGAGGAGGGGGGTGCATGGGGCTCCAGGACACTCTTTGGGAGGATTGGGGCCCCCTGTGTGGTTGTTGGAGGAAAGGCAGAAGACTTCTCTTTTTTTATTTATTTATTTATTTATTTATTTATTTATTTATTTATTTATTTCTAGGAGACAGAGAGAGAGACAGCGCGAGCAGGGGAGGGTCAGGGAGAGAGGGAATCACAGACTGAAACAGGCTCCAGGCCCTGAGCCGGCAGTGAGCACAGAGCCCGACGCGGGGCTCGAACCCACGGACCGCGAGATCATGACCTAAGCGAAAGTCGGACGCCCAACCGACTAAGCCACCCAGGCGCCCCGGCAGAAGACTTCTCTTGAATCTACATTCTCTCAAGCAAGCCGGCTGTTCCCTTTAGCTAGTGCGATGTACAAGTCCGGAAGAGCAGAAGGATTTCCCCAAGAGGCTCCTCCCAATACGCTATCCTGCACAGCTGAGACAATGGCCACTGTCCACAGTGAAATGACAATAACCTAGAGGCTGAAGACCTTTCCTAGACGCTGCCCTGATGGGGAGGGGACACAGTCTGGAGGTCCCTCTTGGTGCATTTGGCCTCCCAGAGCTAGGCAGATGTTTTCAAGAGACCCAGAACTTGACTCGGAGCAATGCCAGCACCGAGTGGGTATTCAGTAAGCAGTACTGATGCCTGGCAAGGAAGGTGAGACTTCACGGAGCTCTGCTCTGGCTGCCCTCCCCCCCCTACTTCCATCCTGCGGGGACCACCTGCTCGAGTCAATGAGGTAGGTACTCTGGTTAGCCTCATTTTGCATAGGAAGACCCTGAAGTACAGAGAGGTTAGTATCTTGCCCAGAGTCACACAGCTAAGTGGCCAAGATTCAGACTGGCCCCTTACTGAGAGCCGAGGCAGGGGCATCATCAGAAGGGTGGGTCACATGAGCTCTTACCCAAAGCAGGCTGACCTGCATACAGGTCCTTCCTACATATTTGCACAGCCAGCACTTAGGAGGACAGCCGGGGTGTGCTAAGCCTTCCAGGCATGGGGTTCGCACGCCATCTTGTGACCACGCCCCATCACTGCAGTGCGTGCGGGCTGGCTGGGTGAGGCTGCGCTTCCTGCCTCCTGCAGGGCGCACGGATCCTGGGAGACTCCCTCATAACTGAGGAGCCTTAATTCTCTGCTCTCACGTTACCAGTTCAAACCCCCACTCTACCTCTCCATCTGCATCCAACGGCTCCCTTGAGGAAAGATCTGGGCTTCCTGAAGATTCCAGCCCTTGACCCCTCTGTCTCTCCTCCACGCATCCGGCATCTTTCCCTCCACCCTGAGGCAGCGTGGACTCCATGGTCCACGAGTGCAGTAGCGTCTCAGCAATGCCCTACACTCCCATGCCCCTGTTTTGAAGAGCACAGGAGCCACCAGAGAGGGACGCC